GTATTTGTTCCCAGACTTATGCGTGCCCTGTTTGGAAGTGTAGTACTCACTATGGCCTGCAGAGGCGCTGTTTCCCCATAAGGGGTGTGTAGAATTGAATGTAAATGACAGGTGACCACAGGATCCCTATTTCTTGTTGAGTCTGAGAAGTGGTACATCAAGCCATATTAAGCCAGTTTCTTTCCTGGAAGGATTACTCTGAGAGAACTGGAAGTGTAGCATTCTCAGAACTTACTAGAACACAGCATGCCAACTTCATGAATTTCCTGCAGCCTTCCTTCCTGCCCTGGCTTTCTGAAAGCCGGGTCTCCCAGATCCACTTAGACAGTTGAGATCTTGTTAGTAACTTGTGACACTGTCTCCAGGAAGCAGTATCAAAGATTCCACTGGTGGGACTAGAGAAATAGCTCAGAGGTTAAGAGCATTGACTGCTCTTTCAAAGGTCCTGGGTTCAATTCCCAGCAACCATATGGTGGCTCACAACCATCTATAATGAGATCCAATGGCTTCTTCTAACATATGTAATAAATAAATAAATAAATAAATCTTTTTTTTTTTAAAAAAAAGTGAGTGTGTGTGTGTGTGTGTGTATATATATATATATATATATATATATATATATATGCATGTATGTGTGTGTGTGTGTGTGTGTATATATATTCCACTGGCCTAACAATCCCAGAGCAAAGGTTCCCAGGGCCAGTGTGGAGTTGTCTGTCTGACTCCCCACCTTCCCTGTTCCTCCCCAGGTACCTACAGTAATGATGCAAAGCCCAGAGAACGGCTGTTGGGATTCTCATAGGGCTTTGTGTGAACTAATACTTGTTTTTCTATGCCCACTCTCAGACTTCGTCGTTCATCAGACTCTGCCCTACCAATCAGTGTCAGTAGACACGTTCAACTCCAAGAATGATGTGTACGTGGCCATCGCTCAGCCCAGCATGGAGAACTGCATGGTCTTGGAGTGGGACCACATAGAAATGAATTTCCGGAGTTATGACAATATCACAGGTGTGTTGTGGAAATAAACACCCCCTGTTATAATCACGGGAGGGCTTGAGGCCCTGCTTCCAGGAAAGGCGGGGACCACATTCCAGCCCACACTGATGGTCACTCTGAAGTGTTCTCCGTACAGTTAGATATTGGTGTTAACAGAACTTTAGGTAGTAATTTCTCACTGGTGGTGATCCTTCTGAGAAAGAGATGGGTGGGGACTCCACAAGAAAGGTGAAAAACATCTTCCTTCTGTGATAAGAAGTCATGTGGGAATCCCATGGCCCTGCATAGCTAAGGCAGCCTGTCGACCAGAACTAAATCATAGCTTTGTTTTTGTTAAGCTGATTATTAACTAATGTACCAACACCTCCCTCCCCACAGCCATTGTTTGCTCCCTTGCTGGGTCTCTCTCTCTCTCTCTCTGTCTCTCTCTGTCTCTGTCTCTGTCTCTCTCTCTCTCTCTCTCTCACACACACACACACACATTGCTTGCTTGCTTGCTGGGTCTCACACACACACATATACCCACTGCTTGTTCCCTTGCTGGGTCTCACACACACACATATACCCATTGCTTGTTCCCTTGCTGGGTCTCACACACACACACACACACACACACACACACATTGCTTGCTCCCTTGCTGGGACACACACACACAGCCATTGCTTGCTCCCTTGCTGGGTCACACACACACACACACACACACACACACACACACACACATTGCTTGCTCCCTTGTTGGGACACACACACACACACACACACACACACACACACACACACACACACTACTTGCTCCCTTGCTGGGTCTGGATGCTCACTGCTCACACTTAGTAAAAGCATAGCAATGAGAATGGTCCAATCATAAATTTGGCTTCTTTCGGAGCCGCTGCTGTGGGTTCCCAGGGTTTTAGTGATACTAAAAATGAACTATCTTCTTGCTCTTTAAGTAAATGAATAAAACCAAGATCAAAACAATTCTTCAATCTTCTCAGCTTCTTGAGTGTAACTGATACTGGCTGTAGAAACAGCACTCTGGAAGCCTGCTCATTGTCCTCTAGAGATTCCCTTCCCAGGATCCAGGGGGCATTGAACTGTTTCTCTGGCGTGCACTGTGGTAGAAACTCTGGATTGGGAAGATCCGAGGCGTTTCTCAGGCACACTTAGCTACACAGCAAATGCAGGGACATAGGTAGTCAGAAGCAGTGGCATTTCACTCCTGGGGGACAGGCCACTAATGAGTCTGATCATGAGTGCTGATGTCCGGGAGATGCTATCTCAGATGAGCTAGCTGCTGCTGCCACAGCCAGCTGGCCTTCCAGTGTGGAGCTTACTGTCTAGGGAGCAGGGCCTGGAAACACAGACTCAGCGCAGATCTGTGTGGAGAGCCTTGGATGTATGAACCTAATATCCTGGTGGATAGAGTTAGCTGCACGGTTTTGGGCTTGGAGCTTGGTGTGGGCTGGCTTCTCCCTGTGTGTCAGTACAGCTGGCACAGCTTTACAAGTGACCTACTCTATTCATTTGGGGACAGAACCTATCTCTGTGTCCCTGTCCCAGGTTGATGGGGTGGCATTGCTGTCTCCCTGCCCTTGCCACTCACTGCAGCTGGCAATAGAGGGGAAACTGCGGTCCCCCTTTAGGGTTCTTAGTCTCACCAATGAAAGGTTTTAAGAATGAACCCAGATGTAAGCACGAAGGCAGTTTTATTAGTATTAAAAGGAAAAGTGCAGAGCATACAAACACTAAATCCCAGCAGCTGCCTGGAGGGCTAAGTGGAGGAGAGTAGGAAAAAGGCATGCGTTGAAGCTGGTTACAGTCAGACACAGGTGAAGAAGCAGTTCCATGGTGGAGAGGAGAGCTTTAGAGAGAGCAAGGGAGCAGGGAGAAGCCCAAAGTGTTAAGGGAAGCAGACTTAGAAAAGAGATTAAAAAAGAAAGTTAGGCACTTATCTGAATAATTCAGAGAATCAGGCAGACTTATGAACCTGCTTGCCTGTGGTCCAGGTCTGTGAGCTTCTGCACCAAAGGTGAGGATTCTGGGAAGGAAAAATATCATTAAAGGACTAATTATTCCATCTAACTCTTTAGCATGGCTTAAGGTGAGCCTTCCTCCCTAGAGGTGCTCTCTAGCCAAGATGATTGTGCTAGCTGGAATGATAGATCTCCATCTCGCTCAGAGATTCTATTTTCTTGGTCAGGGGTTTCCTTGTTTAACTCTACCCCTGGTGGTGACTTCAAACCTTCCCTCCTTCCTGCATTCACTCATTCACTCATTGATAAAGATTACTTGGGCACTTCCTCTCAGCTAGCTGTGTTCTTGTGGGTGGACACATAGTATTTGGGCAAACCCATTAATGTTTATATGCTATCATCTGTAGTGAGAATTTTGTGGCTATTTTTTTTTTTTTAAAATGGGATTAGTGTAGTATTAGACTTGGCAGTCGGGTAAGGTTGTAATGGGTAACCTGTGTAATGGGCAGAGCCTGAGACCAATGGTAGCCTTGTCCATTATGGATGAAATGGGACCCACTCTATTCCATCAGAGACCCCAACCTTCTGGCTTCAGCTAAGACTTCTAAGACTTGTATAGGCCCAGGAAACCTCAGAACTTGCAGAGACTGCCTGAGAGTGAATTGTTCAGGCAGGGGAGCGTTTGTCTGTCTCTTGGTAGCTGAAGTTTGAGTTGGTATGAAAGTCTTCCGGTGTGGTGGAAAAGCAAAGCCTCATATGGAGCCATTAACCACAAACAAGAGTAAGGGAGGGAGCATGGATAGTTCTCACCTCCTTGAGATGGGCCTTCCTCATTCAGCATCCTACTTCAGCATTTACTGGAGAGATTCTGATGTCAGCAGAAGTTCAGTGTGTTCTCAGTCTATGCCTTTTAGATGGGGGTCTCTGAGGAATCAGAGAGGCACCAGTTTCTCTGCTGGGGCTCTGGTCAGATGCCTCCAGGTGAGGAGGCCAGTGGCCATGTTCACACCGACATCTGTGACTTTCTCTCTGTCGTCTTCTCTTCGTCACTCTTGCTTTTTGTATTTTTCTTTATTTGTGATTTCTGCATGTTCCAACTTGTAATCTTTGCAGACAGACAGACAGACAGGCAGACAGATGAGCACACACACACACACACACACACACACACACACACAAAATCTCTGTTGCTGCTGACACACCTACAGGTTCAGTTGGTAGAGCATGAGACTAAATCTCAGGGTTGTGGGTCTGAGCCCCATTTTGGGTGCCATTTGTAGACAGAAGTTTCTGTCCTGCCTGGTCCCACAGCAGTTCAGTCCCAAATAAACACACAAAGGCATATTAATTATATATTGTTTGTCCTATTGCTTAGGCTTGTTACAACTTAATTAACCTATAATTCTTATATACCTTTTCTTAGTAAGGCATTCTCATCTTGCTTCCTCTGCATCTGGCTTGCGACTGTTTCTGTCCTTCCTCTTTCCAGAATTCTCCTAGTCTGTTCACTCTGCCTATACTTCCTGCCTGGCTACTGGCCAGTCAGCATATGTTCTTCCTTGACAGTGGTTTTGAAATTGTTCTCTAAGACAGACAGACCTCTAAGTACACCCCCAGGCATAAGGACCTCTATAGGTCCCACCCAGAGGGACAAGAAGCTTGAATTAGAAATTGCTGTCTGTAGGGTGGGAGTTCTTGAGAGTACTTTGGCAGTTCATACCCTAAAGCCTTACAAAAGATACCAAACATTTATTCTAGCAGATTCTTACAGCTGAGAACAGTACCAGATGGTATCAAAGCATGTTTATTTAACAATATGTGAAAGGAAACATGTCATTTATCAATAATGAAAAACAAGAAAGAACTGCTATGTCCAACAGCAGAGGATTAGTTGAACAGGATGTGGTGCATTCATGCCATATAATGCTGTATAATATTGTGGGTTTTTTTCCTTTTTAGTTTTATTAAACTTTATTTCTATGCACGTTTTGCCTCCTTGTATATATGCGCACCACTTGCATTCCTGGTGATCACAAATCCCAGAAGTTGGCATAGGATCGCTTGGAACTCCAGTTACAGGTGACTGCCATGTGGGTTCTTGGAACCAAACCTGGGCCCTCCAGAAAACATCAAATGCTCTTAAACTCCAAGCCATCTCTCCAGCCCCATTGTATAGTATTTTTTTTTTTAAATTCAGTTGGAGAAAATGACTGATAACATAGGGATTCGGTGAAAAAAGTAGGTTCTAGGGCTGGGGAGACTGCTCAGTCGGGAATTTTTTGATCCTCAAACCAGTGTTTGATCCTCAGAACCCACATTGGAAAAAAAAAAGGCAGATGTGTCTCCTGCTTATAATGCCTCACTGAGGAGGCAGACAGGTGGATGCCTGGGACTTACAACGAGAAATGATACCTGTCTTCTGGTCTCTGGATGTCTATAAACACATGTACACACAGAGATGCACATGTGCATACATATAAAAGTAGGTTTTAAAAAGCATGCATAGAATATAAGCCCAAATGTTTTTAAGGAAGCATATATAGCTATGTACATAGACATTGATACATAGATTAAAGATGAAAGAAGTATATTAAGGGTTTTTTGGTTGCATCATAAATAGATTTTATTTGTGTGCATGTGTCTTTTGGCACTTTGGTGATGGAGTAAGGTAACCTAGATTAAAACCCAGGTACTACTATGTACCTGGCTGTGTGACTTTACATGAATCGCTGAACCCTTCCGTGCCTCGTTGTTAAAATGAACATAGTGGTAAGAGTCGTACCTGTCTCCAGTGGTGCCTGGGAAGAGTGGGTATATATGCAAAAGTGACAAGAGTCCACTTTCTAGGTTTTACCTGTTAATAGTATCACATTTTGCTTTGGTGAACAAGCACTCAGAAAAACAATTTAGACAAAGGCAAATGGCCTGGTTCTAGGAAGTCCAATGAAAGAGAAAGTACCTCTCCGAAAGCCACCGATTCCCTTTGCCCCCAAAGTTAATCTGCAGGACAGAAATTGGATTGTTAGCCTTGTAATTTACAGACCAAATTCACTTTGGTCATATTACTGAGCGAGTTAAAAGAAAGACGAAACTTGTAATGATCTCGAGGGAGGGATGGTGATCTTTGAGATATGAGTGGTCCTCTAGCTAAGATTAAGAGGGTGGCCTTCTTCAGCGGGGGATGGGAGTCGATTGCAGAGAGAATGCCAGTGGTGACCCAGAGCAGAGCGGGAGCAGGGTCCCTTGTGGCGCCTGAGCTGGGTCTCAGACCACTATTCCACAGGCATTTCTGAACTGTGGGTGAGCATTAAGGAGGTGGGGGCCGTCTCGTGATTGCCAGGACAGTTGCTTCACTTACCCTGTAGTGACACTCCTGTGTGCCTGCACTGTGCGTTAAGAGTTCTGCTCTGAACAGTCTTGCACACTCTTTGATTTCTCCAGACACCCCGGGGACCGTGGAGATACACAGTGCAAAACTCACCATCCTGACTACTTCTTATGTACTGTGCTGTGGGGTTAGGTACACTGGTACTGTGTGTGACCAATCCTCACGTCTCTTTCACAGTGCACCTAGTAAACGTCATCCCCTACCCAGCCCTTTATGTCCAGTCTTTGTCCCTGGGACCCCCTCCTGCAGGTAGACTGACAGCTTTGTCCTTTCAGGGCTGACTTCATTCACTTAGCAGAATGTCCTCTAGGCCAGTCCATATTGCAGTATGCAGCAGACTTTCCTTCCTTTTGGAGACTGAATACTATTTCTGGTGTTCATGGACCACAGCTGGTTTATCTGTCTGTGGGAGCATGGATTGAATCCATCTTCCAGCTGTTGTGTGTAACAATGCTTTCAGTACAACTGTCTTGGTTCATTTTG